GGGTGGGGTGTGGGGTCCCTCTTCCTTTTATGAGCCATGTCCATCGGGATTGGATTTTTTTCGGGGCTTGAGGTAGTCAGGTATGTTTAGAGCTCGAAGCTTGAAGGCGTTGGGGCTTGGATGCGTTGGGGCTTTAGGGTTTGGGGTTTGGGCGAGGAATGAAGGGTTTAGAAGTTCAGGGCTTGCGAGCCAATCATTGGCTCCTTTAACAAGGTGCTGCATGCCGAAAGCCCGCAAACCCCCTTAGAGTCTATGGCAAAGTCCTCCTAAGTGCTAAAAGGAATTTGCTACATAAGCTCTGAGCCAAGGAAAACCCCACTGCCACTGTTTTCCGAACGATAAACCCCCCGCCTCTCCCGCCCCTTAAAGCAAGAACGACCCGAGAACGAACCTCCCACCCCGCTAACGGCACTATCTCACTATCTGCAGACAGACACACTTTCTCACTTATACCTACATATATGCATACCTACGTACCTACTTATGTACGTACACACGTACAGCATACATGTACAGGTAGGGATTGCAAGAAATCCAAGCTATGAGAACATAAAGAAAAACAAACCAATCGATGAATGGATGGACAGACAGAGGTGAGGACGCATGCATGCACACATGCATGTATGCGTACCTATGCATGTACGGCCGCATGCACGAACATACATATGCAATCGTAAACACATATGCATGCATACTTTATTACTGACTTGTTTGCTTGCTCATGTACAAAATGTACACACCGTAGCTCGCCATGAGAAGGAGGTAGCTAGCTAGGTCCGGCGAGGTTTGGTCCGTACATATAGATCTGCGTGCATGCCTACATCAATATCTATGCAAATGTCAAGAGTGAGGTGTAAACACTTGCTTGAACTGTCTGCCCAGCAATTGGTGCACATGGTATCGTTCTCCACAAGTCGCTTTGTGCCCGCTGAAGATCAATCTCGACACACGAAAGTCACCGTAAAGGCTGAGAGAGCTACTTGGCTGTCAACCAAACAAGGCAACCCTGGCTTGTCAAGGAAACGAGGAAATTTGGCCTGCGGGGACTCCTGCCTGAGTCAACTGCTGACATTAACCCGCAAACACTAAACCCTAAAAAACCCAAAAGGCAGTACCGGCACCATGAAACGCTAGCATTTTTGCTGTTGCGCTTCCCCTCCACCTTCGATTTTACCAAACACGCTACTGTGTTTGGTGGGTGTTTTATCTTTGTCCACTGAAACTTCCCTGGCTTTGCCCACAGCAACGGTGAAAAAAAGACTGCAATATGACACATAAAGCGACAGCTTCGCCCCTGCAATGGCACACCAAATCCCGCACGGACCCCAACATGCGACACACTCTGAGCCCAAGCCCTCACCCCGGAACGGATTGTGTCTGTGTCATGTTGGAACTGTCGCACAGGTAGCCGGGCATCTTATCGTTTGATCGCAGCATTCCGGAAATCGTGCGTGCGCGCCACCAGATGGAACGTGTCTGAGTCTGTGATCAGATCATGTCTGTTCGTACTGTCATGTGCTGCGACCCTCTTTGATGTGTCTGTCTGCAAAATATGCACACACATCACAGAGTTGGCCAGCTTTCCAGTGACAAATGATCACCAAGTTCTCAATACAGTATGAAGCAGCGAAATCTGCCCGAGTCGGTCCAAGCTCCACATTGTCTTGGCGCCTCCTGCTTTTCCTTGATCTTTCTCTCCTCCTCTGCCTCGCGCTGCAGCAGAACTATGGCTTGTGCCAGCAACACGCAGCATGGACACCACCGATCTGGAAAGCCACATGGGTCACTAGATCCTTCGCCCACTTTGAGGCCAATCATGCGCCGTCTCTGTCGGACGTATAGCCATGCTAGTAGAAGTCTAGTGCCTGCACTATTTCGTGCTCGGCGGGTCACACACTTAAGCTCTGCGGCCATGGGTTCAAGCTCTATGCTCGCACGTGTTTTGAACAGACTGGGCTTGCATCCTGGACGCCTAGGCTTGAGT